GCCGTTTTAGGTAGGCGTGGTTGACTCTTAACTTTTATAAAGAATATCTCTTTGGGTTTGAGACTTTAGTCTTTGCTTTGTCAGGGATCTTATCTATGCACAATCAGCTTGTACACTCCAAAGAGAAAGGAAAACTTGAAATCGCATCATATGACCCCTTTAAAGCCTTTAAGTCAAAAATGTCTAGGTCATGTAATATGTTATTGATTTATTATTATTATTATTTAATTATTATTTTCTAATAATATTAATTCTAATTATATTATTTACAAGAGTAATTATATACTATTTATTATATATTATAATAACTTTTGTATACAGGAAGCCATTTTGTTTTTCAACAGAGAAACAGACTGAAATAGTTTTTTTCCCCCCTTTTTACTTTATAAAAGATGCGTACACTCACATGCAATCATTTATTGAATCACATGAAGTTTACGGAGTCATTGAAGTTTTTGTAGAAAATTATATAGTTTAACATCAACATGAACACAAAGGCTGCATTTGGTGCATGTTTTACATTTGATTTCTTCTTTTCATAATCTCCTTGTTTGTTCTTGATCTTTGATGTGTATTTAGCTATTAAAGTGGCCTGCCTTTCAGTGCTCTGGGTGATTGAATCATGCACTATTAGTTCAGAAATGGACGGTGTCTTAAAACTCATTGACCTGCAAACTTAGCGTTTTTAGGCATCAAAGGAAGGCTGTTAAAATCCTTAAAAAGGCTGTGCAGATAGGCAGCTCAAAAGGTTTTCAAATGCAATGGTAGCAGAAAATGAACGTAAATTAAAGTTCATGTTTGCCTGTCAGTGTGTTGCTGTGGAATGAAATACGTTATTTGAAAATTCTGGTGACTGGCCAAAACCTTTGGTGGGAAACACCTGACAACATGTTCAGATGTGTTAATGAGATTTAAATGACCCTGTGAGGGTGTCGTTTGTCTTATCTCAGGTCTAACAGTTATCACACCACCATCTGTTTAACAGGCTTTAACATGTGTACAATAACATAGAACACAGAAAACTTGCATATTGTGTTGATCATCAACTTAAAGGATTGCATAGGAGCTATTTGCATTCAGTTTTATTCTGAAATGAAAGATACTGAATAGACAAGTAAGTTAGTTGACATGGTCTTGATCCAGGTTGGTTGTTTTCTTTAGACTGTACTGTGCTGGTGCAGTTTGTCATGAGTTTTTCTCTTCTTGCAGAATTTGGTATGAAAGATGACCTGCGGAAGATGGAGATCGTGGGAATGTCGAGCCGAGATCTGTATGTGAAACGTAAGTAAATCTACTGTAACCACAGAAGTCACCTTGTCAGTTCATATGAATTTAAATAATTACTGAGTTGTTGTTTTTTTTTTAAGAATAGTTCACCCAAAAATAAAACTTTGTTGAAAATTTACTCACCCTCAAGCCGTCCAAGATGTAGATGAGTTTGTTTCTCTGGAACAGATTTGGAGAAATGTAGCATTCCATCACTTGCTCACCAGTGGATGCTCTGCAGTGAATGGGTGCCGTCAGAATGAGAGTCCAAACAGCTGATAAAAACATCACAATAATCCACACCACTCCAGTCCAACAATTGATGTCTTGTGGAGTGAAAAAATGTGTGTTTGTAAGAAACAAATCCTTCATTAAGACCTTCTAACTTTAAACCATTGCTTCCGTCCAAAATATGAGTCCATAATCCATAATAATGCTTCCTCCAGTGAAAAAGTCCATCTCATATTTGGCATATTTGTTTAAAACTGTGTTGGACTGTTTTCACCTGTAAACAGCGCTTGATCTGTGCATATTTCTCTCCTGATTCAGATGAGACAACTCTTTCACTGCAGAAATCAATAATGTGGATAGAATACTCGTATTTTAGCTGGTTTGAAGTCTTGAGGCATTTGTTTCTTACAAACATGCAGCTTTTTACTTCACCAGATGTTAATTGTTGGACTGGAGTGGTGTGGATTACTTGTGGATTATTGTGATGTTTTTATCAGCTGTTTGGATTCTCATTCTGACGGCACCCATTCACTGCAGAGGATCCACTGGTGAGCAAGTGATGTATAATGCAACATTTCTCCAAATAATTTTTGGGTGAACTATTCCTTTTTCATGTAATGTTTCTGTTTTATCTGATATCAGCTTTACTGTACCAAAAATGAGTTTTAATAGTTTTAGTTTAACAACCCTGGAACTCTAGTCAAACAGTTAATTGTTCAGACAAACAGATCTGTTTGTTAATGTTGTCGCTCCACCCCATTACATGTCATTTGTCATTTTCACAATGCATTTTACATTTACTTCAGCTCACAAAAGACACTTTATGTTCCTTTACACCCACTTTGTTTGGTTGGTTTGTCTGCAGAGGAAGTTTAGCATCGATGTTTGTTTAAACCAAACATATTTCAAACAGTTGAAAACATGCACGGCTGGTGCTTATAGAGAAAGATTCCTCAGAAGTCAGAGTGGTGTTTGAATATAATTCAGTTGATTTAAAAGTGTGGATATGCACCATTAAATAAATATTATCCTCCGAAGTGACAAACTGCGAACAAAACACTTTTTACTCTCACGGACCCGTACACATTCATTTTCACTGGCATATGTGAGTGTCACTCTCACACTGCCTTGTGGTTCAGCTGTTGTCCTCCTTTGCCTCTCTCCTCTTCCTGTGGTGCACCCACCTGTGTACCTGTCCAGGTGTGAATCCGCAGGTGAAGTCGGGACGCTTTATGAAGCTCCTCCCTGATTATGAGCATATGGACTATCGGGACGTGTACACACACTGTATGTACTGGCCATGTGTGTGAAGGCTTTGTGGTGGAGCCCAGTCACTGCCTGTCAAGCTGCTGGTTGAAGATGCTCTTTCCTGCTTACATTTTGTTCCAGGTTCATTGAGTTAAAGTAAAACTGTTGAATATGGTGTCAGTTAAGACCATGTAGTAATATTTGAATTAATAAAAATATTACTGACTCGGTCCTTAGTTTGTAAAAAAAAAAACAAAAACAAGCAAAATGTAACGGTACACAGTATGCATTGTGCAGTACATGCAGTGCAAATCTGTGTGGCGAGATAAAAGTAAATATTGTTTTGAAAGAGTGATAAAATAGTGTCATATTGCACTACAAGAAAATTAAAAATTACAACAAAAATAGAAATGACAATAAAATCTTTCAGCTTGTCATGATGATGTGAAGTTTGCAAACCTAGTAACAGAATATGCAAATATATATATTGCAAAATATGCAGAAGTATACCTAAAAAGCAACTGTTTAAATTCAAATGTAGAAATATTTTTAGTAACTCATTACCAGACGTTTATCCATCTTGAACAAAAGTCCCTCCAAAAAGACAATTTTAGACAACTTTAGATTTCAAATAACACTTTTTTTTTTATATGGAAGTATTCATATAAACCCTTTAGAATCTTCTTGCCCCTTTGACTTCCACTTTAAATGAGAAACAAGTTAATATTATTTTCTTTAGGGATTAATGAGTTTTGTTTGATACATGGGTAATTTAATTCTCCAGCTCATTTTCTCTATTTTTACAATTAGATTATCTTTGATATCATCTGTGCAAACTTAAACATAATCTTTACAACACTAATAATAACTGTTAAATGTAATATTGGGCCAATCTCAAAGTAAAAGTTTACTTGTTGCATTTAAAATGATTGGGTTTTTTAAAAATTAATTTTGAAGAAATAGTATAGAATTCAATAGCCATTTTATCTGTTGTCAGCCATAACGTGAACATAATCAATGTATAATTTTCATATTTCTGTACTATTATAGTATTATTAGATTAGTTATTTATATTTGTAATAATCTTTTTTATAAAATATTTAAGTTTTTTTTTTTTTACATTTATTTAAAAATATTTACGTTTTAGTAGTTTTGTTGTGGGCTTTTGTCAATTTTATTAGTTATATA